CCTCAATTTCTAGTTCACTATGTAATAAGCTTAAAATCACGCACAGCTTAAACTTCATCATATGCCAAGGAATGTTTCAAATCCCTAATGCTAGTTCTACTTTATATACTTCCAATCCATTTGAGGAAGAATGATTTCGAGAACTTTAGAAAAAAAAAATGTCAATCAAAAGACACTCCAAACACCTGTGAGTAAACTATATGCACACTTAGAAGTGACAGTGTAATAAATCACTTCATGAAACTGGAAAAAAAAAAAAAAATCAGTTATCTAGTTCCAATTTGAGAAGTTACCCTTTATTAAAGGTACAAGGTAGCTGAGTTTGAAGTTCTCTGTGGCAAGTAGTGCAGCTGATAAACATTTTAATTTGATCAAATATAATTCAATATCAATGTAACCATCCTCCCAGAAAAAGTATTAAAATAAATTAAAAAACAATAATAATAATTCTAATTCTTCGTGATATTCTTATAACTCCCTGGTTTGCAGTCCCTCTGCCTCAAAAATCACAGTCTCTTGGCATTTAATCAGTAAATTAACTTTAGGTCTATGTCAGCCACTCTCACAAATCTTGTATTTTGACCCTAACATCATCCTAAACCCTTGGAGAAGAAAAACAAAAACAAACATCCAAAACTCCCTCGATATTTTGAGCCAGGAGGCATTTTTAGAAGTGTCATGTTTGAATACCAGTTAGCAACCCCTGCAAAGCACCATTCACATTATTCATGGAGACAGATTATGGAAATACTGCAGTTTTATCTCTTCCTCCCTTTGAAATGTATAATGTGACTTACATAAGCACTAACTTGCTTATCTTAACATTCACTTGCAGCAGTGTGTGGTTTGGGTTATTCAGCAGGCACACTTGCTTCCCTGCAAAATCTGGATTATCGCTTCCTAGCTAAAACACACCAAACCCAGTTTGTGCACGTTAGGAAAGTTCAAATTCGTCGCAGTGAAATCACTCCACAACCAAGAAGTCTGTGGGATGATGGAAGAAGTGCCCTGCTGCTGCCTGGGTTTATCCACGCGAAGGGGAAGCTCACAGAAGCCCTTGTCTGAGCAAGACACTGCACACGGACGCTTAGCAGCGAACCACCGATTCCAGCCCACAGGAACACGGATGTGTTACAACCCCCACCTCTCCCATTTCTTATCGTCAGTCACCTCAACTGCTCATCAGGTTTAGAAGCAACCAGATTTCTCAGGACACGTATACAAACAGCTTTTTCTTTTTCAAAGCGTCGGGAGAAGAGCACACAGCTCACCAGGTTCCCCCCGCACTAAACAGACTAAACAGAACACCCCGCCCCAGTCCCCTCCCGCACCACCAGTCCCGCGCAGCCCCTAGATCCGAGCGGCCCCGCCAGGCCCCGCCACGAGGGCAGGGCCATCCCCGGGCTGGAACCGGCCGCCTCCCCGCCCCGCCGCGCACGGAGCCCAGAGCCCCGCACAGTCACCTCGGGGCGGCGATGACCTCCCTTCGCGGCGGCCGCACGTCTCCCCCAGTCGCGGCCCGTAGCAACCGGCGGCGCCCGCTGCCGAGTCTCGCAAGGCCCCTAGCAACATCGCGAGAGTCTCGCAGGGCCCAGCCCGCACCCTGCTGGTGCGGTCGTTGCGTTGGTTGTGGCTGCGTCCAGGTCCTGGCTGGTTAAGAGCTCGGGCGTCTGGCCGCCTTCTCCCTTCGCTCGCCGACCACGGGGCGGGCGGGCAGAAGGGCGGCGGTCCCTGCACGACACGGCCTTCTTTAGCTGTGCGCAGCTGCCCTGCATGGCGTGGTCTCCATGTTGTTGGCCAAACAATGTAAAGGGACAGCGTCCCTTTATGCACATCGACCTTTATTCCTCTCCCTACACACACTATTCCAATACTGTGACAAAGCACCACCACCCACGAAACTGCAAGGGAAAACCCAAGGATTGAGTAGCTAGGATGCGTTTGTGTGCCAGTAAAGTGGGTGAAGCACTGAGACATGGCTCACTTTGCTGCCTTGTCCTTAGCTGGGTGTGTAAGGGCTCACCTCTGGCAGTCCCCGGCAGCTCCAGCCCTGTGTTGTGCACCTTAGAGTCATGCAATCATTTGAGTTGAAAATGTAGGAATGGAATGTTGTTTCTGCATCATCAAAATGGGGGAATGGAATTGGAGAAATAGAAGACAGTGTATTTGTGTTTCGTAACTTGTCCTTAGAAATAGCTGATGTGAAAAGGTAAAAATAACATACATGCTAGTAGCATATTTTAGAAATACAATTGCTGAATTATGTGATTAATTCTTGCTTGCAAAACTGCAGTAGTTTTTAAATGTTGCAAATAGTGTAGGTATAGTATTGTGGACTAGAAAGCATATTGTAAGGCAGTTCTGTTTGGATAAGAGACCCTCAGCAAAAGGAAAACAGACTTAACAAACATCAAAACGGGCAAGGCCTCCACACGAGGCTGGATTGCCTCACTCTGTGGGTAGGTTGAAATGCAGCAGGCAGGCATCAAGATACTCCCCTCTAGCCTCCTTCCAAACTTATCTCTATCCAAGGACAAGCAGATGTCCAGAAATAATGACCAAGTATTGAGTGAGCAAATGTTAAAAGTTAAATAAGTAGTGACTTATGCTTAGCTAGTAAAAATTTGTGTTTAGCCAGTATCAGAACATTTAGTTATGCTCAAACAAGAACCAGAACTCAACCAATGGGGAACCATGGGAGTAAGAGATAAGCGTTGGGTAATAGGGAATAAAAGATGTAACACTGTTTTCTGTGGGTGCTCCTGCTTGTAGGACACCTGTCATTGCAATTGCAAATAAAATCTGCTTTATCAGAGATACCATCCTGATAAATTATTTGGATATTTCCAACAGAAAGGACTCTTAAAGGTCAACTAATCCAGTTCCCCTGCAATGAACAGGGACACCTATGGCTACATCAGGTTGGTTAAAGCCTGGTCCTGCCTGACCTTGGGTGTCTCCAGAGATAGGGTTTCCATCAGCTGTCTGAGCAGTTTTTACCATGGGGTAGAGGCCTGGGTTCATAACCAGACTGAAGTAAGACAACTTCAAAATGGGTGCATACCATGATTTTGTCCTACAAATAAATGCAAAGCAGAAAAGAGCAAAGGCATTTTGATGTGATACTGAAATATTTGGATTCCTAGTCCTTACTGAAAGACATTCTATTTTAGCATGCCTTTACTATCTTACAAAACAACATACTGCAGCTGTAGTGGCATTATAGGAAATTGTTCTCGTTCTACCTGTGATGCTTCCAGAACCCTTTTGTTCCTTTCTATGCACATTCCCTTCGTGTTTCATCCAGCTGCTTTTAGCCACAACAGAAACCTTTCTTCCTGAGCAGAGCTGGCAGATATCAGGTGCCATTTGACATGATCATTAGCGGGCATGCAGACAGATACCTTTGGAGAGTGATGCTCCAGAGTGAGAAATGCTATTCTAATGTGCATTATATTTACATGAATGAATATCAGCCACATGAGACATTGAAATCACTAAAATTACTCATGTAGATTTCACAGTGGTGAAATTCCACTGCCTCTGATAGCCAAGTAATCTTTCTCAATGCATAAATATACTATAGATGTTCTCTCCCAGCAGTACAAACAGGAAGAACCCTCCTCAGGAAGCTCAGGAAGATATGCAACACAAACAAGTTTTCTTCAGATTTCCAGGTTCTTTAGAACATCAGACTGCTAATTTCAATGATCTTAGAAACTTAGAGGAACAAGCAAATGCATCAGTTCTTCAAAGATGTAGCATATAATCTGAGTTTCAAAATTTGAAATACAACAGGGATGTGAGTCATTTGATTGCTACAGATGTGGAGTCCACTGTACAGGAGAGATGTAAGCCTGTTGAAGTGCGTCCAGAAGAGGGCCACAAAAATGACTGAAGGGACGGAACACCTCTCCTTTGAGGACAGGCTGAGAGACCTGGGGTTGTTCTGCCTGGAGAAGAGAAGGATAGGAGGTGATCTGATCTGGAAAGCAGCCTTTCAATACCTACAGAGGAGCTACAGGAAAGAAGGGGATGGAATCTTTAGCAGGGAGATGGCTTCAAGCTTAAAGATTTAGGTTAGATATAAGGAAAAAGTCTTTTATAGTGACAGTAGTGAGGCACTGGAAGAGGTTGCCCAGAGATGTGGTTGATGCTCTGTCCCTGGAGGCTTTCAAGGCAAGGCTAGATCAGGCCCTGGGCAACCTGATCTAGCTGTGCATGTCCCTGTTCCTTGCAGGGGAGTTGAGTAGGTGACCTTTAAAGGTTTCTTCCAACTCTAAATATTCTAAGTATGATTCTGTGATTAATAAAATTATTTCCTCATATTCCAAAATTTGAATTATTACCTTTGGAAATAGTTTATTCCAAATTTTCCAATACCAGTATTTCAATACCACTCCACTGGTGTGGCCACACCTTAAGTATTTAGTGCACTTCTGGGCACGCAGTACAAAAGAATGTAGATCTATTAGAGAGCGTCCAAAGGAGGGCTATGAAGATGGTGAAGGGTCTGGAGAGGAAGATTTATAAGGAAGGGTGGAGGTCCCTTGGTTTCTTGGTTCAGCCCAAAGAAGAGGAGACTGGCGGGAGACCTCATAGTAGCCTATACCTCCTTATGAGGAGAGCAGAGATAAGCACTTGCTTCTCTGCTGACAGCAACAGGATTTGAGGGAACAGCATGGACCAGTGTCAGGGAAAGGTCTGTTTGGGTGCTAGGAAAAGGTTCTTCACTAGACCATGGTTGGGCACTGGAACAGGCTCCCTAGGGAAGTGGAGCTTGACGGAGTTCAAGAGGTGTCTGTACAGTGCTCTTAGACATATGGTCTCATTTTTAGGTGGTCTTATGTGGAGTCAGGCATTGGACTTGATGATTATTCTGGGTCCTTTACACTGGGGATGTTAAGTGTTTCTGTGATTCTGTGAATCTATGAACTTTCTGTCAATCTAAAATATTTCTACAGTGTCTCCAGCACAGCCATTCAGAAAGGAGAAAACCATGAACAACAAAGGAATCTTTTTTACAGTTAGCGTAATGGTAGAAATAGTTCATCTTAATGCTAGCGACATTAAAATATGGAAATAATTTATCTTCTTTCTTTCTTGTGTGCTCTGCTGTGTTTCCTCCCCTATTCTTCTGTTGCAAGACCACCACCCGTTTGTGGATGGCACGTAAAGATCTGTAGAGAGAAAGATTTTATGTAGTTAATACATATGTATTAGCGTCTCTAGGAAAGTTTAACCAAGATTTTCACCAACTGCATAAGTACAACTTTTGCTATAGCAAATTGAAGGGGTTGATTTTTGAATTTTTGGTGGAATAACTTACCATAACTTACCATAACCAGATTTCAGATATTGAAATCTGACTGCATGCTTTTGCTTGCCTGATAAGGTTTTCACAGAAGCATTACTAAAGAGCTTAAAGTTGGGACAAAACAGTACTTGACCAAAAAAAAAAAAAAAAAAAAATCCTAGAAGTTTTTTTTTAAAAAATCAGCTTTCTTTAGTCAGTTCCCAAGCAGATTTGAAGCCATGTGGAGCCAGGATATCCCCACTTCAGCTTTTCACATCCCTGGATGTCACAAATGGAGAAATAAGTGTGAAATCTGTGTCTGAAGGTATGACAAGAAGCCTACCTCTCTTTTCTGAATACTCTGACATCCCTTAAGCAGTTCTTGAGCCCCCAAATAAAAGATGAAGACACTTCATCAACCCTTCTATGACCAGTGTGGCATTTATTGTCCTCTCACATCATTATTCATGGAAATTTCCCAAATTTAAAGGAACAATGAGCATGTTTTAAAAGTTCACTAGATCATAATCTAATCAAAAATATCAAAAAGGAAATGGCTTAAAATATTACTGCTGATGGGAAAGTCTATTTAAATAATCTCCAAAGGAAATTTTCTATTTCAGAAACCATCTATTCTTCCCTCCCTGTGTTCTCTAGGGAAATTCTAACCCATTGCTAGATGTTTCCTTCTAAAACAAGTAATAAGGGAACACTGGGAGGATAGCAGGCTGGATCATTTAATAGCTCCAAGTGAACTTGCAATACATATGTTAAAACATGTCTACACAGAATTTGCATCAGTTCCATTACAAAAAAGAATTGAACTATCATGATTTTAGTGTAGTTATATCAGATGAGTTTGAATCTCACTAGTGAGAGCTAAGCCTATGTAAACCTTGTATAAGCTCTTACACAAATAAAAAAATAAAATTGGGTCAGTTTAAGGATTACCTATTTGGTAATTACACTTCAGTGATACTAATATTTCGTAAAGACTGAAGATCTTACATTGCTATTCCTGATTTCTATCAGTGGAAAACAGATAGAAAATCAATAGGACTCTCATAATATTATTAAGCATCAGCTCAGAACCATCCTATCCAATAACAGCCAGAAACGTTATTGATTAAAAATGTAACATAGTGAATATATAGATACTGATTTTTCCATCTGTATGAAGCAGGTTGCATTAATAGATACTCTGTGTGTGCCTGTAAAAGTGACTACTAGAACAGAGATTCAGACAATAAAATCCACACTGCAATGCAAAGTGACTGCCTCGGTGAATCAGAAACAAATCAAGCTTCAATAACAATATAAAAATCCAAACACCAATAAAATGTTTTCCTGATCCACAAATCTTTCTTGGTGAAACTTCAAGGATATACATGTCACTGACTGAGAATAGTCTTAACTAATTCTCTTAACATTGGACTTATTTCTTTAGAAATTAAGGAAAATAAAACAATCATTTATGTGCCATTATGAAAATGAATGGCACAGAAGTACAAAATGATTAGCAAGCATCATCATAAATCTCTGATTTATTTACCATCTCTTTTCTAATTAGTATTTCTGCTTGTTTTTTCTCATATGCTTCCTGAAGGTGGCAGCAGTACTCAATAGTTGCATACGTGTCTGACTTTTGAACTTACTGACCTCCGTGGCATTTCTTTCAGTGTTAAGGCATTTGTATGTATTGTTTATAGTACGCTAAAGTTGAATTTTGATGGCACAGTTAATGTACTTTTGCACATATGATATAAAATATCTATGCAGACTGAAGAAAATATGTTGACTTGGAGTGGCAAGTTACTGCATCTTTTGCAAATATGACTAAAAAATAATTGTAATTAACGTTGTACTGTTGATTACAGTTAAAGTTGTCCATTCCATTGACTTCCGTGAAGGCTGGATCACGTACATTTTCTGAACTGAACTGTTAGCTGGTTTGGGGGCACTATGTTAGCGTTAGCACTTCAAAACTCTACAAAAGTTATCTGTGATCATTGAGGAAAGATAATAGCCTGCCTATAGGGTTTCTTTCAGTTCCATTCTTCCACTTCATCTTAATTGTTTGCAATTACTATTAGAGTTATTCAGGCCAACAGTATCTCACACCAGCACAGTAGGATTTTAATTCAGAAGTAATCTTTTACATTGCTTCTCCACTTTGCCTTTTAATTTAGACTCAGTACAGTTTGCATTAAGTGCCATATTCTTGCCACCAAGGCAAAGCAATTACACTGACATAAGAACCAGGAAGCAATTTAGAGACCTCTGTTCTCCTTCCAATCTACAAGCAGCTGCTGGGTCTGGAGCTTGCAGATCCCGGTTGCAGTCTGGAGAATCATGAAGCCAGCAGCAGTGCTGGTGCTAGGTGACAGCAGGCCTGCCAGTCTTTTATGAAATTCAGATCTGCTCTCACCACTTATTCAACACAGCAAGATGGATATTTTCATAATTGCATGATTGTGTGACCCATAGAAACTTCCTTCAGATTTTCCTCAAAGCTTATTGTTAAGTCCTGCACCTGTCACATATTTCAGAATTCATTCATCACTTCCTTCTAATTGCTGACGCGGTAATTACGTTGAGAACAACTATTTCTATTCCTTCTTCTTTTTGTCTTAGTGTTGTTTAAAATGCGGCATTGCAATCATTCCCTTTGTTTTACTACTATCTGTACTATAAAGCATGTATAACATGTCCATCCAAAAAATTTGATAGCTTTTCTTTTCCAACAGCTTATTCTGCTATATGAATACCTCTCTTCATCATCTCATCAGGTGCTTTCTGTAAACCTGATTTTGCAGGGATTCAAATACTTGATTTGTAAGCATTTGTTTTATGTTGTATACTTGATACAATTTACAGTCTTGTTTTTCAGGGTTTCTTCTAGAAGCACAGATGAATTTGAACAAATATGGGATGCAAAAATCTTTGTTCTCATCATATTTGGAATGATGTTAAATGCTTAAAAAGTAAGACAGTTGTCTACTTCCCTGCTTGTTTGTAGCTACAGCCTTTTGTAATACTTGCCCAAGAAGACAGAATTTGGCCTTTGCTTTGCCATGCTGTGCTCTTCTGTGAACTCAGTTTGTGTGCTTTGTTTTTCAAATGTCTTCTGTCTGCCCTAGCAAACTATGACTGCTTCAAACATCAAAGTGATATTTTTAAGAAAACATAGAAGCATTGCTTGGTAACAACACTGTTTATTTAAATTCTGGAAAACACTTTTTTTTCTCTTTTATTTCAGTTAGGTAATGTCTGGGATTGTAACATAGTGTTACATGTTACACTTGAGAAAAGTCTTTGGAGCTTCTCTGAACAAGTATATTGTCTGAAGTAAATAAAGATTTATGAAAAAAAAAAAGTTCAGAATGCCTTCACGTAAGAGAAAAAAAAAAAAAAAAAAAAGAGGGTTTTTTAAAGGAAACTTATTTTATGATTGTTGTGTAACAGAATATGTTGTGCAATGGAATCCAGCTGGAAATGCCCACACATCCTTTCAGATGATGCATGTAATTTCATTGGAAAAATAAAAAAAAAAGCATGCGTTATAGTTTTGTACTATTTCAGTCAATAGGCCACACCCTCTTCTATGTAATTCCAGTGAATTAAGGATATGTCTACAAATATATCTCTCTGATGCAACTAACAATATTTAAATAATTATATATACGTACAGAATAGTTAATATTTTCATTTATATTTATTTCAGTGCTCTCATGACTTGAGAGAATTCTAATAGAGACATGGTTTATCAGTCAAATGTATTTCAGCAAGGAAGAACAAAAATACTTCTATATCTTGATACACCTCCACAGTAAGTGACAAATTTTGTAAAACTTATTTTATCCTAGACTAAATCACTGTTCCCAAAAGATGGGCAAGGAAATAAAATATTAGTTTTATTTTAGTTTATTTTAGTATTTTGAGAAAAAAATACAGTTTTTATGGAAGTCAGCTTGCAGCAAAATTAGGAAACTTACCTGCATAACAGGGATTATTAGGGTTCTGTCACAGTTTTGGATTTTGTATGTTCAGGTTGGACAGGTCTTGCCTCCTACCAACCAGGTCTAAGTGTTCCACCTGTTAGACACAAAATATCTTGAGGTTTTAATATCTATTTGTAAACTCATAAGAAAATTGGACAGACTGCAAAAAAGTATATTTTCCTTACACCTCTTCCTCTATTTAATTTTTCCAGGGGAGCAGGCATTTGTACTTATACCTACACATTTGGAGCAGCTACTTGGAAAAAAACAAAACAAAACAAAACATAACATAACATAACATATACCAACTCTTTTCTCCCAGGTCAGAAGATTATTTAAATCACCAAGATGGGATTCAGGACCTTTTATATAGGAGGTTGCTTTTTTTCTGATGTCTGAGTGGTCCCTGTTACAGAACCAGTGTTGCAGTATTCTGCTGACGGGATAAAGCAGGTTGTGGAATGGGAGAGACCAGCTAATGATGAGAGTCAGGAACTTCATCACCCAGCTTTATAGGCAAAGAAAACACAAGCGTCCAAACATGCCTGTTCAGATAAGGCCAAGTCAAATCTTCAATCCTTTCACATAGTGGATATCTATAACACCATGTTTTGTGAACTTGTAATAACTTGACTGAGGACTGATTAATCTGTTTGGAATTGTTGGAGAGCCCTGGAAGCAATGCAAAGTATGTCAGTACTGTGTTAATTATTATTTTAAAGTCCATTTGGCACAATCTTTCAGCTTGAAAGTAGTTCCTAAGCTTGCACTGGAGAGCAGTGCAGCAGCTCATGGAAAGAATCTGCATGGATATAGTCAGTAAGCTGCTTTACCAGTGAAGGATTCACCCCTTGTTATAAGTAGGATCTACTTAATTCTGAGTAGTTCTTGATAAAGTTCTCCCAAAACTTTGAAAATACATAGCTGTTTAGTTTTCAGCATAATTTCACTAGCTTCTCTGATGCTTTATAGTGTTTATAGCACTAAATAATTGTAATGCCATTGTGTTTCATACACTTTATTTTACTGTTTATGCACCATATGGCATTGATGCATATTATATTGCGTATAACTCAATACTATAATGGCATATATATAATGGCATTACAAAACAGAGTTGCTGCATTTTTTTATTACAGGTAGGTTGCCTACTGTGATGAAAATAATATAAAAACAGGTGCAAATTATTATTCCCTTTCTTCCTACTTTTTATTCAAGAAATGACCTGTGGTAAATTAGGTGCAATTTTCATTATATTTTATACATACATAGATCTTGGTATAAAATAGTAAATAAGCTCTGCAAGAATTTTATGGTTCTTACTCCTGCTTTTTAAAACTAGTTATGTTTGTAATGCTTTTCCTCAGAGGTTACTTGAAGATCAGTCCTGAGGCTTACTGCACATTCTCAGTTGTTTCTGAAGGTAATGCATGCCAAGCTCATTTTATAGAACTAAAACATTTATTTTTCTTTTATATTCATGTGCTGATTTTTATTTTATTTTTGCAATTAACCCAGGGCATTCCAATTCCTATCCATCAGAGGCCTGATTTCTTAATTAAGCTTACCAAGAGGAGGTGTCCTCTGCAGATTATTGTAATCTTTTATGGATATATATTGCATGGCTCTCATGTTATGGACCTGATTCCAGAACAGGACGTAATACCCTATAGGGACAGTTAAATAGAATTGTTTAGACAGTATGTGGGGAGGGGCAGTGATCCACAACCCACAGCTCATTCTTCTGCTTTCCCTCAGTATACTGAACAAGCAAGATGCAAGCAAAAAATGTAATGTGAAGCACTGCCCATCGAACCCTAGTCTAGAGCTTGTGTGCCTTGTTTAGGGCTACAGGTATGTACATCTCTCTTCTACTGATATCGACAGTCCACATCCTGTCCTGATGGTAAGTGCCCACAAAGACTGCAAACTTCTGAGGAACCCTGCAAAGTGTGCCTTAGCTGCATCTGAGGAGATACCTGCTGGGGTAGATCTACCTATCTCCATCCTGACATCCTCCATTCTGAGAGAACTTGCCATCTCTTAACAGGGTATATTGATTGTATCAGAACACCAAAGCCTTGGTTGATAGTACATTATGCAAATTCACTTGTCTTGGATGATTTTTCCAATGTCAGTAATACCAGTTTTGTCTTAACCTCTTATGATTTAACAGCAACACAAGAACAGCAATATATCACCTGAATCTCTTTTGTTTCAGCTTTAAACAGGTATAACTCAACAATCAGGAGTAAATCATATCTACCTTCCCTTTAGTGACCTAGCTATGCCTAGTACTGCAGAAAGCATAGAACGCAGGACCAAAATTAAGTCCTCTGCAGTCATTACTATTCAGCCACCTGCAACTAGGACCCCCTTGGAATTTTAAACAGAGACATTGCAGCAGCTCATTGGGAATAAGTGAAGCTGTTCAAGAGCTGATTATTGCAGCAGAGCCTGAGCAAATTAATTAATAATTAGCTGTGAAATTATTATACCCCTTCTGTTTTCCTTAGTACTTTTCTCATGTTGCTAATTTACTTCTGCACCACCAAGGGACAAAGTAGAGGTAAAAAACATATGTGGGAATGAACTAAAACTCTCCCCAGGTAAACCTTGCTGTGTTTTTGTGGGGGAGGGTTGTTGATTTTTTTATTTATTTATTTTTTTATTGTGTAGAGATTTATCTTAACTCTTTAAAATGCCTGACTTCTTAAATCTGTATTTTTTTTAGTACCTATTGTAACAAGGCTTAATTTGTTCATAAGAAAGCAATTCTTTGTCTCTCGTCTCTCTGCTGTATAAAATTACACTATACTGAGATATGGTATATTCTTTTGTTATATCTTATCCTGTATGTTTGCATTTCAAATATATTGTTTTAAGGTTCTTATATAGGATGTATAACTGAAAACAGTGTGAGTTGTGTTAAGGCTGCAGTGCTGCATTTAATGAAATAATGATTCTCTGTGTCATTGAAGGGGCTTTACATAGTTATGCATATTGAACAGGTTTTACTCAGAGGGAGTGTTTGTGAAGTTTTCCATGACAAATATATGATAGAAGCTAAGCAAACCTGGCACCTTCCGTATGAGCACCTGATTATTGGCTGCATCAAAATAGAATATGAATATTACAGGTATTTCAGTGAAAAAATAGCTGTGACTATCGCCTGCAGTAAAAGGTGTGGAAAAATATGTTGGAAGTCTGAAGCAAAATAAGCTGAGATTTAAAGCTCCTTTTCAAAGGTGAGGCTAGGGATGGGGTCTAACTGGCTGGCCTGGGCCCTAACTATTTTTTCCATAGCTTTATTAAACTTTTGGGTCAGTCCAAGCTGATGGATAGGAGTAAAGTTTTCCTTGTTCTTACATAAGCTTGGAGAATATGTAGATGCATTTCTCGCATGGCTGGAGATTAAAAAGCTCTTTCTCCTTTCTTAGAGCAGAATAGGAAATCTTTATTTCATAAGCAGATATTTCACTTCAGTTCCAGGCTCATGAGTACTGTTTTAGTCAACCAGGAGCATCAGAAGATAAAAATGGCTTTTGACACACACCAGTAGTCTTTGAAGTATCTCGTTTATAATGCAGATAACTGCCAGAACCTTATATACTATTCTTACTGTATATGCTAAGCAAATAATCAGAATGAAATCAAGCTAACCAGTCTTGTTTGGATTAGTCTTCTTGCCAGCATCTTAGCAGAGGGACTTTCACGATTCCCAGGCTTATTTATTTTAGTAATGTACCAGAAGGTAGCACTTTCCTTACTTTGGATGCTATTTACCATCAAAAGACCTAGGAATAATCTGTAAGGTAAATACTTATGCTACTTGTAAACTGTGGTAATAAAATATTCCAGCACTTTAGGCTTACAAAGGGTAGTATTTGCATATAAACCCAAAGAACAGTTTACATAAATGTTTTTAAAAGGCTGATTCATCTGAAATAAGTTACAAAAATACGTCAGGATTAAGTAAAATCTAAACACTATGGCTGGACTTAAGTGGTGTGATTATACTTCTAAATTTCTGGCACTGTTTCCGCAGTTTAATAAACTGAATTTCTATTTCTTCCAACTGTTTTCTGCTGATTATCCTACTTGAATAAATGTTTGTGCTGGACTGGCTGGCAGAGGAGGCAGACAAAAACCTTCCTTTGCAGTTGCTGCTAGTGAATGCTGCACCTGCCATGTGGGAGATGATGCGTGCTTTGGTGAGGGCCTGTAGCCTCAGCAGGTGTTGAGAGCTAGCCTGTTATTTGCTGCAACCTAGTGTGACACCTTTTAAAGCTGTCCTTGTGCAGGTTTGATAGATCTGAAACATTCTTGGGTTAATCTTTCTTTCTAAGATAATCCATTCTGCTTCCATAGTGCTGGTGTAATGTCCTAATACTGGTCTATTTATTCCATGTCCATGTATAATCATCTTTTCTGATCATAGGTCTTTCACTAAAACCATAATGTCTTTTTCTGAACAAAATCCTTCTCTTCTGTGTTAACTAATAAATGTGTTCAGGTACACCAATGGCTGTACATGGAATAGGTACTAATAATTGTAACATTTCTTACTGATGTCATCTAACTGTCAAACTTGGCTCTCATTAATAACTCAGGTCCCTTTTGCTTTTCACTCTTTGGCAAATATATTTCCTTGTTTTAAGGATTGAAATTGCTCCTTTTTTATATATTTTTTCTTTTTTTTTAGCTTTGTCTCACACTGAATCTAGAGGACAGGTAAATAGATGCATATGGAAAAAAAAAATAAACCTCTTCATCTCAGTGAAGAGGAAATTTTACTTAATTGGAAATGCTTGTAGTCTGTGGCTGCTCTTGCTTTCAGCTATGGTGTCTGAAGACCTGTGATGTGATTTTTTTTTTTTTTTTCCAGAGGAAGATTCACTTGCAGGCTTCTGTTTCTGCTCATGTCAAGTATGACATATGGGAGTTCTATTAAACTCTCTAAAAGAAGTGGAGCAGAGGATGTGTTATGTGTCTCAGTGCTAGTCAGTGACGTCTTGAGGCAAAGCTGCCCCTGTCAGATGGGGCCTTCCTGAGAGGTTGGTTGGGCCTGGCTGACGATGCTCCTTCAAAGTAGCAACAAGAGGGGACAGTTTGCCTTTTAAGTGCATATGGTAAATCTCCATCGAGTGCATGCCACTTGCAATTCGTTTATTTCTTATTCTTGATACTCTGATTGGTAACTTTGGGATTAAGTCGCACTCTGAGGTTCTGGCTGTATCTCTGATGCATTGAATTGCAGATGGGGGTGACTCTGCTCTCCCTCTTTTTTAATTGGTGCTGAAAAGAAGCTGCATTTCCTGCAGTGTGTTTTCTTTTCTTTATATGCTTATTTAGTCCTTATACCTTTTCTAAGGAAAAGCCAAGCCATGAACTTTGTTGGGCTGACACAAATACAGTTCTTGATGTGTTTAGAACAGTATTCTCTAAGACAGGAAGCTTTCGAAAAAGTATTGAAGTCCCCTCCCTTAATAACCTCCAGAACTGCTTTCAGATAGACTCTTATGGCAAAAGCCAGACATATCTTTTTGATACATGAACAGTTACTGCTTTCAGTGCTTGAATAAGAGAAAGGGGGATGTAGGGGAAGTCATTATCTACTAAAAAAGATCAAGCTTGAGAATGCATCTTTTATCTCCTTTTATTTTGTCACATACATTTCCTGATCTTTCCAATCTGTATGTAGTTCACAGAAACTTTGGATTCTTAACAACCTTGAAGTTAACAGTACTTCAGCATATACTACTGTAGTAGTAAAATACAAGAGATTGTATTTTATGTGACTGTAATTTGTTTTTTTTCCTCAGTATCAGCTGATTTCTTTCCATTTACCGCTGAAGCAAAGCTTTTCCTTTGTCTGAGAGCTTGTTTGATTTTTTTATTTTATTTATTTATTTATTTATTTTACTTTTGTCATAGGAATAAGAAAGCATGAAAGATTCATGAGGTATTTGGATTAGTTTAAATCCCTGCAACTCTAGTCAGAGCTACATGGAAGAGCTACACTTGTGTTCTGTGTTTTCCCCCCAGCTCGGCCAGGGCCTTTTTCCTTTTCTTTGATTCAGCCTTCCTCAGTTTCTCTTTCCTTCAACTGTTGGGTCACCAAGGTGATGAAAGGATTGGAGTGTCTCTCCTGTGTGGAGAGGCTGAGACAGCTGGAGAAGAGAAGGCTCACAAGGATCGTCAATGTATATTAATACCTGAACAGAGGGTGCAAGGAGCACGGAGCCAGTTTTTTTTCAGTGGTGCAAGGACAAGAGGCAATGGACACAAACTGGAATGTAGTAGGTTCTGTCTGAGCATCAAGGAGCACTTCTGTACTTGTGTGGGCAATGAAGCACTGGCACATGTTGCCCAGAAAGACTATGGAGTCTTCTCCTTGGAGATCTTCAGATCCTGCCTGGACGTGGTCTGGGCAACCTGGATGTTCCTGCTTTAGGAGGGGACAAGATGACCTCCAGAGGTCCCTATAGACATCAGCCATTCTGTGAGTTTGGAAAAAAGATGTAGCATTAAGATGTGCCTCAAGGAAAAAAGCCTCAAGGTTGCTATTGTCAGGTCTGCCTTGTCTTCTTCTTTCTAATTTTCTTTTCCCCTTGGTCAGTCCCTGGTCCTCTGAACTTTCCTGAGCTTTGGGTGCTAGCCATAAGTACATTTAATTATGAGAGAACATCAGAGTCTATTTAAGTCACTAGAAAAAGTTCTGATGATTTGAAATGTTTGAATAATAGCCATGAGACCATAGGAATAGTTTTCTGCTGGTCAGGATTTTTTTTTGTTATCGGCAATGGCAATATTAAGAATTTTTGCTCCTTTTGCAAAAAAGATTTTGGTTTACTTTTAGTGCAGTGGCCAACCAGATATCCCCTAGTCTCTGCAACTTTATTTTTTACTATGAAAAGCAGAAAGTATTCATTCTCACTTTTTACTGATTGTTGGCCAAATTTTCCAGCATAACTTCATCCATATCATATTCAAGTCAACATTTCTTGTAATATCTATGACAACAGTTACATCACCCATTAGCTTTTGCCAAAATTGATGTATATTTATTCTCTAGTTTATTATTAGTCCAAGCCTTCAGACTGTTGCTGTTGCTCTTCACTGTATCTCTTCTTCATTCAGTAATGCATTTCTGCTTCCTGTTAGTTAAAAGTTTCAAATTGTTAGTCACGTTGTCTCACTCAAATTTCATCATGTAAGTGATAAATTGGTGTAGCAAGGTGGGCATTTGACATTTATATTTTTAATGAACTATTGAAGAAATTACTTTGCAAAGCTTGGAGCTCCTAATTTTATTCTTGGCACATGTAACTATGTACACTTGGGTATAAATGAGTTCTTAGCTTAATTATCTGAAGTCTTCTCCTCTGTAGTCTATTTTGCCAGTTATTTTTTGACCTCACAGTGCAATTTTGCTGTTTTTTCCAGGCTCTGCTTCTAAATCAGAATATTCTTTGTGGTCTTTTAGTTCTTTCAAATAATTTGAACTGTATATATATTTTTAATCCTTGTAGGCTTCATCTACTGTATCTGTGCTTTAAAATTATGTCAAATGAATACAGTACGAAATCTAGGTGAGCACATCCAGAAATAGTGTTTTCTTGGTTGATATTGTTAACGTTTTTATCTCATTTTGTTATGACTTCACAACTCTGGATTTTCTTCTTCTGTATCTCTGCCAAAATGTATACTCAAAGTAATTTAGTTCAGAAGAAAAAAAATGAGCATCATCCTTTGTCAAGGAGAAAGGGAGTGGCTGTAACAGTGATAATTTTGCTGTTTTAGACAGCCAGAAGTCATACCGTCAAAGAATTGCGATATATAGCAGATAGCTGCATATTCAATGCTGACTGTGAACTGAAGCCAGGAGAGAAGATCATTCGTGTCAAAACCAAATCCTCAATTCCTCATACCTGATTTACAGTCCAAGAGAACTGTAAAGAGGATGAGACAAAGAAAACAATGAAATATTTTGGAGAGATCTCTGATGTTTTCTCATTCAGTGAACTGTGAACTGTTCCATCTGCTTCTCAATTTTGGGCTTCAGTATGACTCATGCTAGACTTGCTTTAAGGCATATTCATACCTATATTGCTGGGAGTTGAGAAATGACATTAAACAACATCTGCTGTTGTTGCCATACACCAATTAAGGAAGCAACACTATGAATCCTGATGGAAAGACCACTAGAACACTTGGTCCTTCATTTCTATCCAGGCTTCTCGGTGCATGTATTTGGTCTCCTCTCTAATCTCAGAAGAAAATCTGTTGATTTGATGCCATGCTCTCTGGAGGGTGTTAATAACAAGATTATATGGACGTATTCTGAATCGGAAGTGTACATCCAAGTGTTGGCAAAAACCTTAGTGTAGCTTGGATCAGATGAGAGAATGAGAGGTTCTTGTCTCAGTAGTCTTCTTCTCTCATCCTGCCAGCCTATTAATGGTTTTAAATATTTTAGCAACTGACACTTGGTTCATTAAGAATCATTTCATCTGTGTCTTTTTGTAGTGTCTCCGAGCTTTCTGTGATAGTTTGATAAGAACAGTACAAACACTGAAGATTTCTTTTTTTTTTTTTAGTATAATTTTGTTTTCTTCTCTAACAGCAATTTGTCTTTTTTAAATAAAGGCAAATTTACTTCTGAAATTCTTTTGAAAGTAGTAGTTTCCCATTATTTTTGCATTGTTGTTTGTTTGTTTTGTTGGTTGCTTGTTTGCTTTGTTGTTTTTTAAACCTGCTTCATCAAGATCCTTGCTGGATATCATTTCAGTTGTAGCCTCAGGTTTGGATATCACTCTGAGAACCAATATTTGAAGAATGGGTGTTTACTAAACCTACTAAATCTAAGGCTTTAAAAACTGGGAAGTTAAATTACCATCTTCCTTGGAGTTCAGATGTTCTGACAATATGTGTGTGGTGGCCTGCAGCAGTATTTTATAAGCAAGAGGAAGAAACACCTCTGAAGTGCACAAGGGAGATGATAAAAATTGTTTCAAAGCCATGAAAACCAGAAGATGTTCAAACACAAAGCATCCTGAATAGTCAAACTGAGTAGTTTATCCACAGGCAGAAGGCAGACTGATGCAGGATTTTTTGTCTGGCTTCTTGGTTGGTTTTGATTGGGTGTTTAAAACCCTGTCCCTGAAAAAAATGATTAACAGATTACATGAAAAAACAATGGAGGAATGGAGATTGGAATTGAAATAAATATTTTCTGTGGAGATGTCTGCTGATTGTACTTTTTTCTTGGTGATCCTGAGTTTTTTCAGATTTTTTTTGTTGCTGTGTTGTTTTTGGGTTTGGTGGTTTGTTGTTTTGTTTTGTTTTGTTTTTACATTCATAGAAGGTACAGTTGATACACAGTTGATAGTAAAACAGCATCTTTTGCAGCTGTGTCCATTCTGTTTCAAGGGCTGCTGAGCAAAAGCATCTTTGGAGACCGCATCATTGAATTTGACTCAATTATGTTATTCCAGGCATAGAAATTAACCTGTTGTCTCAAAATCTTCTATGATGCTCCTGTTGGACTTTAAATCAAATGAAGACTGTTCTTTAATGAAAGCAGTGGTGAATATAGTGCTGAAGCACACTCTCACTTGTGTTGGCTAATGACATAGCTGAAAATAACCTCTGAACCATATTTTATAATGGTGATGGTTAGTCTCTTTTTTTTTTTTACACTGAAACACAAATCATTATAACTCTGAAGTATTAGAATTCTGCCTACCTTGGCAGGACAGCCAGTGAAGTTGGGATGGTATATCTTGGCCTTAACACATTCCATTATTAGCATTCTTGCAGCTGTTTCTATGAGACATTTTCTTTTTGTATTATTTGCAGGAGGATTTTGACAGGAAGAAGGAATGCTCACATTTAAAGAAATGTTTCTTCTTCATCACATTATATTCAGACTGACTTCTACTGTAACATAAACGCTTGATATTACTTCTTTCACCCATGCACCACAAGAAAAAAATATGGCAGCAAGCTGAAATATTCACAAACTATGAAGCTCTGTGTTTGGGCTGATTCAGAAGCCAAAGCAGAAAACATTATTTTCTTTCTAATGCAGTCCACCTAGGATGCCAAAATAAACTTTTAAAAGAGTAGAATGAGATCTGTCTCTAAATACACTGTAAGACTCACCAAGATTCATGTATTTCCCTGAAGTACGGTACAGATAGGGAGGAAGAGAAAGAAAGAAATAAATGCAATCTAAGTTATTCTTAATTATCTTCCAGACCTGTGTAAAGGCAGACCAGATAATTACCATTTCTATTTTTGTCATGTGACAAAAATGTATGTGTATGAAGAAGGGAAGGAAGAAAAGTGTGGCAAAATCTATTTAGGCAGTAATATATAGCTTAGACATTTCTCAAAACTTAACAGATACATCTATTATATATCTCTCAGTTTTACTGTTGCTTGAAGCCTTGGTCGTTCACCAGAACTGTATTGCCCCAGAGTCTGTCTAAACACAGAATAGAATGACAGTCCTTGTCATAGTTTACAACAACAGCATATAAATACTGGGAGCAAGCAAGAAGCCAAATACTTAAAATGTGTTGAAATTTGGAAATGTCACATTACTATTCCCTGTTAAACAAGCTTACAGACATTTCAATAGTCACTTTAAATATATTAGGATTGGGCATTTACCCTAAACAGAGTATAGTATATAGTATTAGTATACAAAATAATGTGAAAGGTAGTATTTCCTACTTTTTTCATGTTGAACATTCAAGCCATTTAATGTAGTTAAATAGTATGCAAATAAATGTATGTATATAATTCTAATAATAAATGACACAGAAGGGAGTGTTCTGTTAATGAATTAAAATGAATGAACTATGGTTGGGTCACGTGAGGAGGCTTCTCTCATTTATGCAGAGATCTCAGAAGCTTTGGTGGGATTTCATAGCCCATGTCTTAAATTTATCTAGTAAAGTAGAAGGAAATCTAAAACAATATATTTCATGGGGAACTTTATATGACTTTTACCAACAGAATTATCTCCTGGACATTTTTATCCCTGGGAACTTCATAAAGTGAGTCCTTTTAGAACATGTTTCTGGGCATTTGTAAGAGCAGAAAGTGACTGGAATCAGTCAGAATGGATTTATAAAGGAATAATCATGCCTGACCAACCTAATTGTCTTCTGTGCTAAAATGAATGAACTACGCCCAGTTTTGTGGACAAGGAGAGAACAAAGAGTGTCATTTGTGCTTTCAGTAGCATCTCCTACAATAACTTTGTAACTAAACTATGGCATCACAGTGTGACTGAGTGCATAACAAGATAGGTAAAAAAGCTGATTAGGTGGTTGATCTCAAAGGACAGTGGTTAATGGATCATACTTATCTGCAGGCTGGTAACAACAGGGTACTGCTGGGTCTACCTTGGGGCACATTCTGTTTAATATCAGTAGTAGTGAAGGTAACAGCCTGGAGGAGATGATGGACAACATTTCCATTTAGTTTGCAGCAGCACCCCTGGTGCCTACAGGTTTAGAGGGAGCAAGACTTTTCACAGCAATGAAAGATGTGAGGATGAGTGACAAGGACCATCATCTGAATCAAGCAAAAGAGGTTCAGAGTTGATGCAGGGGAAATCTTCCTTCTGTGTGCTTGGCTGCTTGAAGAAGCTGTGCTGGCCCTGTACTCAGAGTTCCCAGACATGCTCAGCCCACACCCCTCAGTGTTGAGCGACTGCTAGGGCTGGGCTGTGGGTATCCTGAGCACCTGGACAGGTCTCCAGCTGTTTGTGTTTATGCTTCTGTAATTTTTGTTAAGATCTTTAATAAAAAGCTGGGTCCATGCCTAGTCCTGAACTGCATATGAGCTGTCACAGACTAGGTTTTAACTGGTTTTTCTTCTGGGCCAGGATATTGATAACTCCAGTGATGTTTGAAGTATTATGGTGAATATACTTTGTACAACTGTCAATTGCTGCACTCTCAAAAAGATGCTTAGGAAGTGCTTTTTGTATTATGTAAGTAACTATTAAGCTACTTATGTGAGACACCAGTAGTCACTAAAATCTGCTTCTGCTGACCAGTGTTACTCACACCTGAAAATTTCATCTACTGTGGACTCTGAACAGTTCTTAAAAAGGAGGCTTTTTTTCCCTTATTTAAGACAAAAGACAAAATCAAAGTGAAGTAGAAATTATCCTATGTATTAAATAAATAAAGAAACCTGCTAAGTAGCGATTTTACTTACTAAAAATTGAACTTATTTGCCTGAATGAGCACTGAGTTAGCTGGATTCACCGTTAATTTTTCTCAACACAAAAAGCCAAGTTCAACACTCAAATGAATTCACACAGCTACCGTTGGCTGGGGACAGGATTGGCTCTGAGCAAGGAAACGAATAAACCTCTGCCAAGGGAAGAAAAACAGCCACATTTCAGAAACCGCATCACAGGAGCATTTCCCCACTGTGCCTGTGGTTGTGGTCTAATGGTTGGCTGAAATGAGGGAGAACAGAGAAGCATGAAATCAGAAGACAGATGTGTCTGCATGAACCAGGCAGCAAGAGATTTGCAGCACAGTGGCAAGGTGCCTCACTGACTGCACAGATACAAGGCTGAAACTGTGCTGAAAAATAAAAAAGTTTATTAATTCCTTACAATCATTTAAAGAACAATATACAGGCATGATTTGTAAATATGGTCTTCTACTTTCTGAATCACAAGTATACTTCTCCAAAACAGACGCTGTGCTTCACCGTGTTTTCATTTGTACATATGTGAAAATAGATAACTTATTTTCTTTCTTTAGTTATCGTATATACCTGTTTTTAATACGTTACCGAAGGATACTTTACATTGCTTTAGTAATAAGGAAAATAACATTAACTTTACATTCAAATATAACTTTCCAAGGTGAATTAACATTTAGTACATTCTGAAGATAGTGTTAGTGCTGTCTATTGTTCCTATGTGAATGGAATAAAGCTGTGCAAAGTAGCAGGGAAAAAGCTTGCCAAGACCTCCAGGACAAAAAGTAGATTTAAACCACAGTTATTTAGCTAATTATCTACCGGGAAGACAATGGAGAATTCTGAGAGAAATGCTTATTTTTAAACATTCTGAACAATTACTAGACAAGACAGTGTTAATTTCATTCATATTTCAAGTTTGTTTTTTTTTTTTTCAGGGGTGCAAAATCTTTTTCAGTTATTTTCATTGGAAGCACTCAGTATTAAGAGCTTCACTTCTCAATGTTCCTGACTACACCTGCAGATAATACTCAGAAAGTTCACCAGGCTCTAGGAAATGGTGCTGCAATGACAGCTGAGCTGCATTTCAGTGCAGGCACAGATCTAGGCAGAGCGACTTACTTTTTTTGTGGGGTCTGTCTGAAGCTGCCAGACTTTACTTACCTAAGGGATAAAGAGGACTATTTGCAGAAATGAAGCCCTCCCCACTTCAAATCCTGGCTGCACTGTCTAAATGCAAGGTGTCTGCAATGAAAATCTGCTTCCAGGAATGAGAGGTGAAATCCCAGCAGGGCTGGAGGGTATCTGTCTTGGTAATGATGAGCTCTGCCCTGTTTTGTGTACAGTACATCAAACCTCATGTAGTCATCTACACTGATGCCAACGCCTGTGGCCATGGATCTGAGAACAAGCAGTAGTCATTTGGCCTGCACTGACTGTGCATGTATTGACTGGTGAATTACCAGCGAGCGCAACAGCAGCTTCTGTGCATTGTGGTGTGATGCTGTGGTGGTAGAAAAATAGGTGTTTCCATTGCTTTAGGTTTTCCTTCAGCACAGAACCATACTGCCCCACACTCCTACTATGCATATATACTGCAAACATTTTAATTTCATATTATGTGTATTAGCAATAATGCTTAAACCATTAATTAGTGTATAACCTTCCCCACTGTGAAACATTCAACCTATGCATGCTTGCTATGAAGCTAATTACTTGCTTGCTGTGTGTGCTCTGCCTGTGTTGTGAATTTAGTGCACTATGGCTGCTTTTCTTTCCCACTTTCTTTATAAACAAATGCAGAACACTGCTGAGGCCGTGAATTCACTTTAAAAAAAAAAAAAAAAAAAAAAAGGTATTATGGATATGTAATAAAATGAAAACTGAGAAAATATGTTTTCTTTGCTAATTAAAAAATG